CAGCTCCTCGCGGAAGATTAAAACTGTCGCCCCAAATCGTTAGCGCGCGAAAGCCGCGAGGGAAGAAAACGCACTGCCGTGAACCACCAGAGCAAAAAAACACGACAGGTTACCCCGCCATCACCCGCCCGACCCCGCTCAAGGACGCCAGCCACCGCACAGGCAGCCATCCCGATAAAACACCAACGGGGCCTCCGTGCGCTAAGGCTTCGGGTCAAGCACCGGATCATCAGGCCTGGCCAGAGATGACCTGCCCACCCAGATGACAGAGAAGCATGTTCCTGGTACCAAACACGTGCATTTTACCTTTGTCAACGTGTTGTTTATGCTCACAACTTCAAGGGCAGGGTCAGCACTGCCCAACTGCCCTCCCAGAAGGCGACTGGAGCACACAGCCGGCCCTACACCCTTAGCAGTCTGTAGGCAGAAAGCTCTCGGCGAACCTACAGCCCCCGGGAAGGTCACGCTAAGGCCAACATCAGCTCACGCCACATCGAGTCCAGCTGCTGCGTGGCAGGGCGCGAGGGAGACGCTGCAAACAGCGAGCGGGTCTTTACATGGCTCCTCGTCACTTACAATCCCCGTGCTGTCACTAGCAAGGCCCAGAGGAGACTCCGGCCACATTAGGTTGCATTTTGAGGACTTCACTTGTCCTCTATCACGCTGACCAGTTGTCCAAGTAGAGTTTTCCTGCATCCTGGTTGCCTGTCCCTATGCCTAGAGCTCAAGCGATTCCAACTGGGATCGTGCTCCTACGACACAGGATCCACATCGCCCCAGCGTGGCGACGGGTACGTGGCAACGCGGAGGCCTGCAGACACTCCGGGCGGAGGCGAGATTACAGCGCACGCCCCGACACACTCTGGTGCTCGCGGGATCGAAGCGGCCTGAACTGCTTTTGCCGGGGGAGGGAGGGCTGTCTTTTCACAGCATATCATCTCATCAGGCTGAAAAGCCCCATGAGGGAAGGCTGAACCGTTTAGCTTCTGGATTGAAGTTGCATGGTTTAATGCTAGTGTTTAATTGTTAAGACCAACAGTCTAAACATACATGTCTAGGGGTGAGGATACCACATCAGGCCATATTCTTCTACAGGTTTTATCAGTCGTACGATGCCCTGTGCTGGATGCAATATATGGTGAGTGTTGTTCCATGGGAACAGCCCTAGATCCCATCACTCCCCACGGAGCCAGGAGGCACCGGCAGCAGTCCATCCCCAGCTTCAGGTGAGGCAACACGGCGCACAGGCCAGCTCCAGGCTGCTCTGCCCCTCGGGCCGGAACAGGCCTTACGGGATGCTCTGGACACACAGAGTGCTTGCCTAAATAATCATGGAATCATAGAATGGTTAGGGTTGGAAGGGACCTTAAAGATCATCTAGTTCCAACCCCCTCATCAGACCGCCCTGACCAAAAGCGGTCTCCCCGGCAGGACAGGATGGCGCTGCGTGCCGCGGAGCAGCGCGGGGGGCCGGGCGGCTGTTCTGCCAGCAGCCCGGTTTGCGGCGTAACGCCCCAGCATCGCGCTGGGACGCTGGGTCACGCACAAGAGCGACGCGAGCGCAGAACCCTGGCTTCCACAAGCAATATCACGAGATCCCGATGGCAAAGCCATGTCTTTGTAGGCCCATACAGGATCCTACAGCTGCGCTCTTCCTTCAGCTTCCTGGGACAAGCATTCACTTCCCTTCTGCCTAACCAAAAGGAAGGCAAAGTACTCCTTGGCAAAACGCAGCGGAGGAGCAACCGATGAACACGTTGCAATGAGAGAAGTTAGCACGGAGAAATGCACCTCCTGATGCCGGTTCTCTCGGATACAATTCCCCACCCAGCAGCAGATGCCCTGTTAAAAAGGCGAATGCCAGCGCTGTGCCCATCAGTGGACAGACCCATCACGGCGCGAGTGCCTCCTCCCTGCCAGTCACTCCTTGCTGACAGCGACTTTAGCGTGGGAGGGCTTTCCCCCGCTTATACACAAACAGTACAGGAGGAAGCGGGAGCCAGAGCAGAGCTGCGTGGACGTGGAGGTACGCGACGCTTTCTTAGGAGAACCCGTTGGAACTTGGAGACGGTGCCGTGCACAGCGGCAGGCGGCTCCCGGGGCTGACGGCACTCGCGGCGCAGTGCACGCAATTTAAAAAGCGGTTTGAAACGACATGGAATAATTCAGGGAAATTTAACAGCGTGGAGAAACCCAACACCTGAGAGGAAGGGGCTGTGTGAGCACCTGGTGACTTAAAAAAAGCATTGTAACCGCAAAGTCCTTGATAGAAACACACCAGCACTTCCAAAATTTCTAAATTTGAGAAGCGTAATCTACAAACAGGCCTTAAGAACTAAAGCGCTTCCAACTAAACCATGGAGCAGAAAGTATTCTTGTTGCCAGGTTTAGAGCCAGCAGCGATGCCGCATGGCCCCACACCAAACCCTGTATCCTCAGGGAGTAAACAGAGTGGTACCGACTGGCAGAGAGAGAGCCGAGAGCAACAGCGACGCCAGCGAGGGCACAGCCCCGCAGTACCTGAGTACGGGGAGCCGGGCAGGCCCTGGGGAAGCCGTAGGCAGCAGTCCAGCCATCCATCATCCAGCAGCAGGTCCAAAGCCAGGCTGGGAAGCCCCTCAGCAAGCCAGACTCATCAACAACCAGAGCGGGGCCCACCCCTCAGCCTCTATGGAGCTGCTGGGCCAGGGGCGGAGGGTGCTGAGAGGGCCCAGGGGAGACTGGTCAGGGCCGTGATGGGCTCTCAGTGCCCACAGCTGCTGCTTAACCCCGGAAAAACCTGTTTCCCCTCTGTTTGAAGGAGCGATGGTGGCAGCTCCAGAAAAATTTTCATTTTTAGGAACTGGCAGCACATTTAGCCCCATGCTTTGGGTGTCCTGGGGTAGAATGCAGGCTGTCTCAAGCATGCAGTGCTGTAACGCACGTGACTGCCAAAGCTCTTGCCAAAAACCTGACGATTGACTCTGGGCATCACTGGTCAGAACGCAGGAGACAGACTGGTTTGGAGAGCCACCAGCAGGGAACTTCACCAACGCCTTAGAAGAGCCTGAGTGCTCTTTTCACCAAGCCTTGAACAGCAAATAAAACTGCAGAACTCAGGAAAATTCATGCTATTAGACTGGACACATTAAGTCACAAAATGACACTTTGAATTGATGAAAAATAAAGATCTTTAAATATCTGGGGCTGCAGCCATCGAGTCAAACTACACAGCCAACAAAATCCTCTGCTCAACACAGCGGATGAAATCTTCATTACAGAAGCACCCGCGAAAGCACGCCTGTTTGCGTTCAGGGGGTTCTTTAGAGGCAAGAGAGCAGCTCTACAAGCTTGCAGGGAACACTGAGAATCCCCAGCGGAATTCTACCGTAACCATCCATGACGGTTGCAGGCTTCAGAGCCGTCACTGAACTGAGCACGCACCTGAACTGCAGGCAGGTTCTCGCCACGGCTCAGGGCTGTAGCCAGCGTAAACTGTAAAAATAGCCAAGACCATCGACCTTTAGAAATCAGAAAGATGTGCTCAGATGATGGTTATGTCCCTCGTCCTGCTGGGAAACATCAGCAGCTGAGGAAAACTTCAGTGTCACCACTGGCACCCACGTCTCTAGACGTGTCTGCTCTTTAGAATACAAGTGACTGAGATCCTCGGACACCTTTACTTCTCCCTCCCTCCCCCGTTACCGGAATGGCCTCGAATTAAGTGGTGAAAGGTTCCCTGTGTTCTGAATCATGCTCCTCTACCAACCAAGTGATTATTCCAGATTCTAGGACAAAGAATCTTTCCATCATTTGGTTTGCATTTGCATGGCAATACCAGTTAGACGTGCCGATTTAACGAACGAACATGTCCAATCTTACATAGATTACAACTTTTTGCATATCTTGAGCATGTTTCAAAGCTCGAGAAACATATGAAAGATTTCCTAACCAAATCAGAGGCAGAGCATACAGCTAAAGCAGTTCTTCCAGTAGATACTAACAACGCAGAGACACTTCTTAATTCTAGATTTGCAAAAGTACCTACGTATTTCATTACCAAAGTCCAGTAATTGGGAATGAACTCGTTTCCCATTAGAACAGGCAATCACGAAGGCCCCTACGCAGTCATTTGCTGGAGTTCAGACTGTACATACACCCGGATGTACGCAGAGCCGGGTCTGCAGACACTGCGGTGACTTCAGGGTCCAGTGAGGTGTCACCCTGTGAGCGTGATGGCTCTCGGAGCCAGGGAACAGCAGTTATTTGGTAAAAGTCAGGTAGCAAAGACAAAAATTTATCCCAAATTCTGAATTATAATGAGGATACAGCTCCAGAGACCTGTCCAGCGACTCCTCTGACCTGACATATGCTCACTTAAGCCAGGCTCGTAGCAAGTTCCAAGCTCTAGTAAGCAGAGACAAGCACTGCTACTGGTGGTAAGCTACTAAGTCCAAACTCCCTTCTTCATGCTGATTATTAGCTGCCTAAATAGCTCAATGGATCTTGGACAAATTCCAACGGTATCGCGGACCCTGCAAGCTGTGGGAACCGTAGGGTGCTTGACAAGGTATATGTATTCCCACTTTTCATTTAGTTCCATGCTTAGAATTAATGCTAGTTATTGGCCTTGTCTGGACAGAGGAAACTCAACATTGTTTTAAGGAGTTCTAAGTTACAACTTAATAATCTACGTCACAGAATATGCCGAGTTGGACGAGACCCACGAGGGTCATCAAGTCCAACTCCTCACTCCGCAGAGGGCAACCTAAAAGCTGAACCAAGTACCCAAGAGCGTTGTCCAAAAGCTTCTTGAGCACGGACAAGTTTGGAGTCATGCCCACTGCCCTAGGGAGCTCGTTCCAGGGCTTGTCCACCTTCCCAGTTCAGCTCACACTCCAGAGGAACTGTGTGGGATTTAGACAGAAGCCGTTCTGACCCGGCACAGCACCAGCCACGGTGGGAAAAAGGCTCCGCAGGTCTGAGCTGGGAGGAAACACACAAAGAAACAACACACAGGCAGGGTTGCTTCACTTTTATTTACTCAGCAAACATTTTCCCGTGTGATTTTTTAGTGCCATCCAAGAGCTAACTAAGATTATTAGATGCTGGGTGTTTTTTCGTGAGGAAGCTTTTTGCTAACAGGATCTTTTTCCAGACATAAAGACCACTGGTTTGTTAAGGTATCCCAGTTTAGGTAGGTGCAAGTTGCTAATTTCACCCACAATTAAATTGTATCTACAACAGTGCATCTCACACTTATTCTACAAAGGATGAGACTCTCCATCCAAAATCCTCCCAAATCCCTGTCCCACACCAGGATTTTACTCTTACAGGATCAGGGGTGCCTTCACCTGTTCGGCCACTTCCTTCCCCATCAGCGTTTCAACAATGGCCAACCCAAACTCAAAGCTGGTACCAGGGCCGCGGCTGGTGAGGATGTTCCCATCTTTCTCCACGCGGCTCTCGGAGTAGCTGTAGTGCGCTTGGGGGGGACACACAACAGAAGGAGGGTCAGTCACCAGCACGGTGCCCACAGCCGCCGCAGGGCCCTGCCACCCTCAGCCTACAGCGCCGCTACAGCGTCGTGCCCCTTCAGCTCTGCCCCCCTGCCCCTCCAGAGCCAAGCAGCTCATTGCTGTCTGCAGTCCTCAGGGAGGAAAAGGGCCCGCGGGGAACTCTGGCAGCTATTCACGTGGCATGGGAGCGCACCTCCGATTCTACAAGCTCATCAGGAAGCGCTCGCTGTGCCTGTCAATTCCCGTGAGGTGACTTTCGGAAGCCAGACTGCTTTTGCGTAGCTGTTCACAACTTTGTTTTCCCAAATGCTCTCAGAGGGAAGGGAAGGAACCCTGCCACCTCCTTCTCACCTTCCGACCCCTTCATGCTCACAGAATCAGTTAACAGTGTTCAGCACCCCTTCCTTCAGGCATGAGAAGTGCAGACCCGTCAGCTGCTCAGAGCGCCAAAGCCCTACTCACGGGGCAGCAGGAAGGGTGCTGCCGGGGTTTGCTGTTGGAAGGACTGAGGCCAAGTACCGAAAGGGCAGGAGACGGCTCAGCCTCAAGAGGATAAGGGCTAAAGTGCTCTTGCTATGCCAACAGCAGCGTTTTTTCCCCAAGAATGAGAATGTTAGTATAGCTCTGTGTTTTCAGGTTAAACAGACCCAGAGATGCAGTCAGCACATTCGGCTGAACTGTGACTATGAAAGCGTCAAGGAAATTCAGAGATACAACAGCCATTTTCCTTTCCTTAAATCAAGAGTTCAGCTGACAAAAAAATATCTGAGAAGGGTTTAAAGAGAAACTTACAGACGTCATCACATACCTCCAGTCATCATTTTATCTTTGGCCAACGGATGTGTGGTGACTTTTCTTCCAAACCCCACCCCGTGTGCCAGGAGGGCAGTAGGACCTGTAAGGACACAGAGTTGCACCAGTGAGGAACTGCCGGTCGCCAGGCCCTCAAGGAGCCAAAAGCTCACTGCGGACAGACTCGTTTTCATCAGCCTGACGCCAGCTCTATCTCAGAAGCAAAAAGCCCCCGAAAGAACCCAGATCTCTCATTCTATCGCACACAAGGCCCTGGGCAGAGAAAGAGATGAAGGAAAGCGCAGGTCCAGACAACACCCAGTTCACGCAGCTGCCTCTGAAGGACTAGAGAGAACATGGTCATTTCACTTCCAAATTGTGTGCTGAGCAGTATTTTGGACAGATCACGGGCTAACTGCTAAGTTTTTGGTTTTAACAGTCTTTCTCTTTTCATACTTCCCCCTTGGCCTGAATTGAGGAAGGAGTTTGTGTCAAGAAATCTTAGGTCATCTGACAGAAAATCCTTATGGAAATCCCAAAAAGAAATTGAAGGCAGGATTTGCCTAATGGGAGTTTCATTTCTGTGCTTTTGACTCATTTCAGATACAGTCCAGGAAATAACCTTCTTCGTGTTCATCTGGAAGCTGCTCTAAGCAGCATCATACCTAAATAAATGATTACAAGCAAAGGCCGTTATTGGGCAACTGGGAATTTGTGACTGTTCTGCAAGAGATTCAGACGCAGAAGGAGAAGACCACTGCTGCCAAGGTCAAGAACGTTCATGGCTCTGTGTGCCTACCACCCGAATGAAGAAAGCAAGCAAGAAACCCCGGCAACGCATCAGCAAACGAGTGAAAAGACACTCCACAGACACACTCTGTCAGATGGTCTCTGACAGGTTCATCGCCGTCCCCTCGCTCCCAGCTACAGGTCCCTCGGGAATATCGGCAGTTGCTCATCGTGCTCCTGCACCTACAAATCTTACAAAGGAATGAACTGATCCCTCGCTGTGCAGAACATGTAACCAGACAACCCCCTCCTCGGAGTAATTCCATCTCTTGCCACCACTCGGATGAGGAAGGCTGAGCCTGTAATTCTATATTTACAGCCTTCTCCAAAGCAAAAGGGCAGGAGAGGAGATGGGGGATAAATTTATAGCAGTGGTGTTTCGCCGGCACCGTGCCCTCACAGGAACTTCACCAGAATTAGCAAGTATTTTGTAAAAATCCTAGCACGTTACCTTTCACTTCTTGTTTTAAAGACAGTAACACCACCGATTGGGAAGAACTGGGTACCGAGCAGAACTGGCAGGGTAAGTGCTCACAGTATCTTAGAGACTAAACTACAGGAATACGGATTTCTAAGGAAACCGTCTGCACGTCCCTTCAAAATATCCAACTGCTCCACAAAGCACGAATCTCGTTAACCAACCTGCACATATAGCAGCAATCAGGCCTTTTCTGCTTTCCTGGTCCTTCAAAATGTCCTTCACAGCAGGAGACTGTATGAAGAAACAGATCACAAACCATCGTTTGGGGTTGGTTATTTAAAGAGTTATACGGGATATTTGTCTTTTATTCCAGGGCTTACAAACACTGCGATACCATCTAAACCCTGCCTGACAGACTGACCTGTTTGTCCGCCTGCCTACCACAAGGGATTTATCCACCACTACAACCGTTTTGCACCAGAGACAGAATTGTTGAGCATGGGAACAGCAGTCCTGTGGGTTTGGCCTGTTTTCTGTTTCATGGAATAACATTTTCATTTGCAACTGTTCCATCTCCCTAGGATTGCAAACAGATTTCCCCACAATACAGAGCACCCTTCCACTTTTATTCCGCTTAACCAGGTACTCGGGTCCAAGAATTTACCCACCTATCCTATCCCAAGAAGGGAGTTAAGACAATTAACAGTTTTCCCTTCTGAAAGAATCAGTGTTTTCCGACGCTGAACAGAATCTGCAGGATTACTAAGCCAGTGTAGACCACCCACTACTCGCGAGGATGCCCATGAATCTTGTACAATACCAGAACTTTACCTCTGACAAGTTTTGAGCTCCCAGGTTCCCCCCAGGCAGGACCACGACGTCGTAGGGCCCCTAAACAAACAAAAGAGAAAACCGTTCTGTTGAACAGAGGCTGGTACCTACATTACACTGGTTTAAGGCCACTACAGCCAGGCTGAGCGAGAAGCGAAGGGATCTACCTTTTCTTCCACTGAGCAACACTTTATGATCAGAGAACCATTTCCAATTGTGGAACAAAACACCATTTCCTATTCCAGGAAGAGCCTATTATCGATAAGGTCTGTCACAGAACTAACTTTTAAGCCCAGAGCATTTAAATGCTTCAGCAAGCAAACAGCAGCTCCCCTAAGAAGTGCTTTTGCTCCCACCGTACTGTACAGGTCTAACTACAGCACTGTTTAGCTTCCCGTCAGAACTTTCCAGTTGTTCCAAATCACAGTATTTTCTTGGGCCAACCAACATGCCAAATAAAGCCTTATGTTCAATGCTTTGCCAACCCAAATAGCTGTGCAGAATTAACAAATCCGTCTGACCCTAGCAGGCTACGCAGCAGGACAACACTGAAGCGGAGCGCTGCGGGATGTGCAGTTCTGTGATTCATGACTGCGCAGAGCTAACGTAACGTGCAACGTATTTCTAAGGGTAAGGTGTAAGTTGCCCAAATTCCCCCCTCAGACCATGAGAAAGGCTATGTCAGCTCTGACACCGGATCAGGGGGATGACCAACCTCTTTTCTGGCATCTTCAAGACTGGCATCAGGACAAATGAAGACATCTCGACTGCACTGCACTGGTTCTTTTCCCGCTAGGCCTGCAACAGTCACTTTGATCTAACAGAAGAATACATGTATCGTTACAATTCAAGAATTTAGGGCATTTTTCTTCTATGTCAGTTCTTAAGCAGTATGCAGAATGAGCGAAGCACTACTAAAAGCTGTCAAGAACAAGGCAGCACTCAAGCTTCCCCGAACCATGACGCACAAGGTAAGCAGTGATATTCACCCAGAGGTTAACAAATACCCCTAATACTTCAACTTTTCCAACAGGACGTGTAGAGAATATCTAATCCCGCAGGTTTTAAACAAAACAAAACAGTGCAAGGCAGGAGAGCTGGACCAAGTAGATCAGATAATGAATTAAAGTCTCTCTGCAGGCTCAAGCCTTTCCCAAACGCACTTATGGTGTGTTCAGTTTTCTCTCTTGACTTTTAGATGCCTGGTCATAACGTCACAGACGTGCACGACACCGCTCACATTCACCGAAGAAGCAGACAAGTTTGAGCTTCTTACGGCAGCCAAAGTGTGTGTGTGGGTACATTAACGGAATGATAAAGGTGGTGGGAGAAGGTGATTTTTATTTTAGTCGTTTCTATACACACAAAGTTGGTGTATTTATTTAAAATCTTACTTTCACGTCTCACCAGACGGTAACACCCTGCAGCACCGCGGTAACTAATGGCGTGAGGAATGCCACCAGACAGAATTCTAGTAAACGACACAATTTTGACAGTAGCTCAAGAAGAGCTACGGAATGCCATGAGCTGAAACGTACCGAGCTGCTCAGACCCTGCAAAAAAAGCACTTCCTGTTGCTACGACGGGAGCAGACGCGTTTTCTGACAGGCCACGATTGACCTGAACACCTGCTCTCGTCCCCATCAGGCTCGCATTTTAAGGGTTTCTCAGCTGCTCATCTGGGGCACGGTGCAAACAGCCGCGGAGCAGTCCGAGGGCAGAGGTGAATGCTCACCTCGCAGCACAGACCACACCTTGAACTCCTAGCCAGGAACACCAACCTGAGGCAAAGATTTTCCCTTGGCCAAGCACTCACAAGAAGATTTTTCACTGTCTGCAGACTCACCCCAGCTCTTCTCATCACGTCAGTGGGGATCACAGTTTCCATCTCCTCTGCCCCTTTTGCTAGAATCACCAGTGCTCTTTTCGAGGCCATGGCTCGGAGGGGTTGCTGTCACGTGAGACGGTTGTGAAGGGCTGAAGGGGAGTAGAAAGAGACAGTGTGGTCAGAAGGCAAATCCTCCCCGTACAAATCCTTCCTAAAGGTGAAGTTTAACAGTGAGTAATTTGCATTTTTGCATTATCTTTCACTTAAGCCACCTCAAAACGGTTCGTTAGCTTTAATTGACAGCGATCCTGTTAAACTGACGTGCTCTTGCATCACACTACGAAGGGAGTGCGGTGGGGGGCACAGCACACCACCACCAGAGCAGGGAGCACCTTGGCCTGGTCAAGACTTTACGTAACCCGAGTCTGCCAGAGACAAGGGTTCAAGGTGGGTGGCGAGAGTTGTTTCTCGTCTGCACACCCTCAATCCTTCCCAGACTACCGACTCCTACCCAGGTCAGCATTTATAAAAACGCTTTGCATGAGCTTTGACCTCATGCCTGGTATTTAGTTTCCACGCAGCACATTTCATGAAGAGTTTCCTGTGACTTAGAATGACTCAAGCAGTGCCCCTGCAAAACCCGAGCAATAGATTTTCTGGGTATTTCATACTTTTGTGGGGGAGAAATGTGTGTGCGTACGTGTGATGGGGGAGCAGACCACAGAATTCAGCAAATGGAACAAAGTAGGCTAAAGACGTTTTTTCAGCTCCAAAGTTCAAGCTGAGGTGAGTGGCCAAATTTCCGTTTGAAGGTTAAATTAAAGTAACTTTAACTCCATGGTGTAAAACACACACTAAGTCACACTGGTCTGACAGCAGCCCGTGGAAGCGTGTGGTGTGAGAAGGCATTTCACAGGTCACCCACTCTACGAGGCAGGGATTTTTTTCCTACGTGAGGGCTTTCCATCTGAAACGCACGTAGCACCTGCGAGCTCTTCCTAAAATATGATCCACATTTAGTTGTCTACACTGACGAAAACCATCCCTCCGTCCCACTTCCACTTCCGCTGTTCTCAGGTTCGCTCCCTACCGCCAGCCTCATTTAGAGAGACGCTGTTCCTAGAACGCAGCACCACACAGGACATCCCGCAGCGTACGGAACCAGCCCAAGCAGACGCTCACTGCATCGAATCCTACTTTTAGGGCAGGTTTTGTACTGTCAAAGCCAAGGTCAGCTGAACAAGAACCTGACCATGAGGAAACCCTTCTTCCCTGTGAGGGTGACAGAGCCCTGAACAGGCTGCCCAGAGAGGGGGTGGAGTCTCCTTCCCTGGAGACTTTCCAGAGCCCCTGGACTTGTTCTTGTGTGATCTGCTCTAGGGGATCCTGCTCTGGCAGCGGGGTTGGACTAGATGATCTCTAGAGGTCCCTGCCAACCCCTTCCACTCTGTGAAGCTGTGTAATCTGTACACCCAAACCTTAAGTATTAGCAGTGGCTTCAGGACAACCTGGAGCTTCCTAATAATTCACCACCAAGGTACACTGTGACTGTGCTAGTTTAATTCTTGTATGAATTTGACTAACTACCAACGGGCTACCCGAACAGCCACGGCACAGAAATACTGTGTTTGCTTCTTACTGGTGAAAACCACTCGAGATCGAGACTGTATCCCTCTGTCATCACTGCTTCAGATGCAAACAGCACCACAGAATGGTTTGGGCTGGAAGGCACCTTAAAGACCATCTCGTTTCCCCCGATCTAGCAGAAGGAGGCCTCTCCCTGGACATCTATGGTAACACACCCGACAGATTCCTGAGCGTTAGGACTGGTCTTTACATGGGTGCCTATGCAAAAAGCCGGCGCGCTGCAAACGCTCCCAGGGCAGGGCTGTTTTCTGAGAAGGCCGAACCTTCAGCCCCTTCATTTAACGAGCACGGGGAGAACAAGTGCTGGCACATGCACAAGCCTTCCGCTACGCATCCCCTCCCCGCGGGCACGCGCGCATCCCCCGCGAGGGTGGCTCCCGGCTGAATCGCAAACTCCGAAGGTTGCC